AATCTGTATCCAAAGTGGCCACTGTCCAGCTTAAAATTATGGGATTCTGTTACTAAGGAAGAAAGGAAGAATGGATGTTGGGGGATAATTAGTGGTCTCTACCATCCTTCCTTCCAGCCAACCAACCAATCAACCACCCAGCCAACATTTATGTTTGAGGAGCTGCCCTATTTAGTGAGAGAGACAGATATGCAAATAACTCACTACAATACAATGTGATATGGAGTATAAAAGAGGTTTTGTTTGGAGTACTGTGGGAGAACAGATGGAAGTGATCAACAGCAATCAGAATAATTAATGACTACAATGCCCTCGCTGGGGCCTCCTGCTACATTCGGACTATTGTGTATATCCAGCTCCCTTTCTTTGCAGTGAGAGCCGCAAACTTTCCTACTTCTCCATAATAGCCAACACAATGGGCCGGCAGGTGCTGTTCTGAGTTCTTCATACACATTATCTCACTGCAGTCTCGCAAGCTAAGACTGTTCTTCTCACTTACAGATGAGAAACAGGCCCAAGCCATGGATCGGGCTGTTGGATGCGGGCAGCCTGGCTCCTGAGTGCCTGGGCTTAACCTCTCCGTTCTGTCGCCCCTTCCTCTGTCCCCACCAGTCTCCTCCAGCAGAGGTCTCAGCCACTGCACTGTGAGGGCTGATGTCATCTGGTGGGACCTTGCTTCACCTCCAGGCCAGCCCCCAGCTTGCCTGCATCCCTCCCCCGGCTCGGCCTCGGTCTTCTTGGCTAGAGCTTCCCCCTCCCCTGCAGTCTGGAGAGGCAGCAGGCTGTGGTGGCTTAAGGAAGTCACTCGGCCTCTTTAAACATCACTTTCCTGTCTGTAAGTAGGGATGGGACTAACACCCTTATCACGGGACTAGCCTTGCACCTACTCAGTGCTCAGAGGATGTTATTACTTTTTATCCCCCTTCCATCTGGTTCCTTGGACTGTTATCTCTCTGCATCTTCAATCAGCTTTTCTTTACAGGTCGTATTGGTTTCCTATTCCTGCCGTAACAAATGACCACAAATTCAGTAAGGTAACACATACATATCTAATGTCTTACATTCCTGGAGGTTGGAAGGCTGTACCGGGTCTCACAGGGCTAATATCTAGGTGTTACAGGACGACGTCCCTTCGGGGTGCTTTGGGAAGAATCAGTTTTGTTACCTTTTCCAGTTGACAGGCTGTTTGCATTCCTCATGGCCTTCAGGGGTTCAAAGCCAGCTCCACTGGTCCTGCCCTCAGGTTGCCTTACACCAGCCTGGATTCCTTCCTCCCACCTCCTGCCTGACCTCTTGTCTCCCTTTCTCACTGACAGGGACCCTGTGACTAAACTGCACAGCCCTGGATAATCCAGGGCACTCACTTCATCCCATCTGTGGAGTTCCCAACACATTCACAGGCTCAGGGGATTTGGGTGTGAACCTCTTTGGGTGCCATTATCTTGCCTACCTCTGGGATTATTTCCCCTCAGGATGTAGTAGGTAAGAACCATCTTAAATAAAACACCTCTTCTTTAACCGTGTGCCCTTCACACTTCTTTGCTTCTTAGGCATACTTTTGTTTTTTGGTACCAGGGATTGAATTCAGGGGCACTTAATGACTGAGCACATTTTAGCCTTTAAAAAAAAAATATTTTGAGACAGTCTTTATTAAAATGCTTAGGGCCTCAATAAATTACTGAGGCTGGTATTGAATTTGCGATCTTCCTGTCTCAGCCTCCCGAGTGGCTGGGATTACAGGTGTGCACCACCACATCAGCTCTCAGGAAAGCTCTTTGAAGGAGTCATCTTGATTAGCTTTCCCATTTCCTAAAAACCCACTGCAGTCTGTGTCTGCCCCCGCATCCCACCAAACCCACATTTGCCCTCGTCATAGTGGCTTTGGTGACTCTTTTCATTCTGAACCGGCTGCATTGTTCGTGCTGTCTGCTCATTCCTGCTGGAGACCTTCCTCTCCCTATCTTCCTTTAAGTCATTCTGGTTTTCTTTCTCATCCTCCCTGGCTTCTTCCTCTCCTCTGTGAGCTATGCTGTTCCTCTATGAGCTATGCTGTCTCCACCCACCTGTGAAATGTCCATGTTTCCCTGGACTTTAGATCTTTGATCCCTTGCTCTTTTCTTGCTAGTTTTAAATGCCACTTACACAAGGATGGCTGACTCCTGCTTGTGCTGTGGAAATCTCTGGCCCCTGGCTGGGAGTGTTGGTGAGGAGTGTGCTTCTACTACTAATCTCATGAGCTCATCAGCTCTTCAGTCTTCCTTGACGCACACACAGTGAGAGAGCTCACTGAGGTAGTGACTTGAGAACCATGAAGCCTGGGGCACTTGGTGCTTCTGTTCCAGACTGTGTGGCTGCTTCCATGGAGATGGAGCGCCATCCTCTCAGGACTTCTCAGAGGAAGGTGTGAAAGACAGCAGGCCCAGGTGTGCCAAAGGACAGATCTGTGTTTAGTGGGGGTGACAGGGAAGCAGCAGGATAGCAGCTTTTTGATAGTGTATTTACTGGTGCAAACCCCACCTTTACCTCTGTGATTTGCAACTCCTGGAGCTCTGAAGGAGTTACATGCTCACTAGTTCAAAGGCACAGAACTATTCATGGGAAGCTAAGATGCATCCTGACGGTAGTTAGACACACAAGACTCTCACCAGGGAACAGTTTAACCAAATAGTGAGGCTGCCTCTGAATGCAAGAAGACTGCTGGGGGGGGCGGCGGTATGAAACTGAAGAGTGGCCTGGGGACAGTCAGGAGGTTCAGAGAGGAAAAGGGACTTGGTCATGGAATGGACAGGGAGTGAAGAGGAAGAAGGCCATTTGGGGCAGGGGAATAGCATGTGCCAAGGTGGAGAATCAGGATAACAGATAATCTATTTGGGGAACAGGGAGATTGTAGGGGAGATGAGGTCAAAGATGAGGACAGCAGCTGGAGCATGTGGGCTTCATAAGGGCTTTAGGTAGGTTCTAGGAGGAAGTTTGAACTTGATCTTGCTGGCAGTGGGAAGCTATCGAATTTTTTGTTCCAGTTCTGGGCATTAAACCTAACATGCATGGTCAGCAAGTGCTGTACCACTGAACTATGCCTGTTACCTGAAGAAATGATGGTGTGTGTGTGTGTGTGTGTGTGTGTTTGTGTTTGCTGGGAATTGAACCAAGGGTCCTATGTATGTTAGGCAAGTATTTTACCACAGATCTACATCCCCAGCTCCTATTTAAAGGTTCTGATCACAGAAATGACTTGACAGAGTTCAGCTCTTTTAGGAAGACTATTCTTCGGTAGATTGGGGAGGGATTGTTGGGCCTTAGATCTTAAAATATGCAAGGTATAATTTTAGAGGAGATACCTTGATAATTACTGGCCCATTCCTATAATCTTATATTCCTATAATTTTATATGTGTGTATATTTTTAGATATAGGTGCATATTTATATATAATATATAATCATATATAACATCTATTTTAAATATACCCTCACACATATTAGATGGCCTAGGTGAACACATAGTGACAAAGCTAGCATTAGAACTCAGGTCTGCCTCCTAGTCCAGTGATCTTCTATATTGATCTGAGTGGTTGCAGAGGTATCTGAAAGGAGGCTGTCCAACTGTCTAGGCACATGGTGATGCCAGTCTTGACCAGGGCAGACACCCAGGTAAAGACCATGTGGGAGGCAGTGAAGACATGTTGTCTCTCCTCCTCTCTCTCTTGGTGGGGGTGGGGACATAGGGCTCGTTGGAGACTGCACATGAGTGCATCTCTCTTTCCTGGGTCCTGCAGCATCCTTCTGGGCCTGGTTTCTATGGCAACAGGCTCCCAGCAGGCAGCCCGCCAGCTGGAGGGAAGCAGGCAGGCAGGCAAGGAGAGAAGGTTTGGGCAGTATGGGGAATGCTGAAGTTGCGGGGGTTGGGAGTCTCCTGGGAAGCTGGACAGGTCTCTGGAGCTGTCCCAACAAGTCTGTCTCTCTTCTGACCATGTGTGGAGGGGGCGGGGAACTCAGGACCCATAGATCTTTCTTGTGAGGTCCTTGCATTCTCAGATGTAGAACTTCTGTTCATCCTCTGTCCCCCCACATCTCCTGACTCCCACTTCTTAAAGTATTGTCAGACCCTAACCTTATACCTCTTAGGAGGCCACTGAGTTCTTTATAGAAAAGAGCCCCTACTCTGAACTCAGGGGAAAAAAATGAACAAGGCCAATTGACTTTCTGTTTTGCATAGGATTTGCATATTATTAACTCAAAGACAAGAAATTTCCAGGCCCTGTGTCATTCCTGCCAACAACTTAATTCAGCTCCACTGGCACTGGCATACTGTGTCTGGCCAGGCTCTGGGCTGAGCTGTCAGGGTCCCTAGGGGAGAAGTCCTCCCAGCCGCATGCCCACTCCACCCCCAGCTGCTCCCAGGCACCTCCTCCCCTGATGTTCTAGCAGCTGCTGTGGAGTGTGGAACAGAGTGCTCTGACTGCGGAACCCAGCAGGCAGCCCTGGGTCCAAATTCTAGCTCTGCTACTTTGTGGCTGGGTGATGCTGGGCCTCTGGGCCTAGGTTTACTCATGGGTCTTAGGGCTCAGTACACACTGTACAGCCCGTGCGAACCAGCATGGATTTACCTTTGTTAGAATGCTGAATGCATTTGCATTCATCCATAAAGAGCTAACACTACCCTGGACCCTACCTGGGACCCTCTGATCTACCTCACAATCCAGCTTCTACAGGTGAGGTCCCAGCACTTTGGTCACAATCTGCTTGGATTGGTGTATGACAGCATCTGTTCGGGCCATGGAGTACTGGTTGTTAAATATTTTGACTGTCACCCTGTGGAGAGGTGGTGCGATGAGTAGGTATATTGGGTACCTACTAGTTGCAAGGATTCATCCATTTCCAGTGCTTGGCCTCATGCTGACTGCTTTGTAGGTTCCCTTCCTCACTCCTTTCCCCTTTTGCCTGGGATGTGGGTGAGGGCTAAGATGGTCAGGGACAGAGGGGACAGGCACCTCTCTCCACAGGCGGGCAAGGTTCAAGCGCTCCAACAGCGTGACGGCCGGTGTGCAGGCAGACCTGGAACTGGAGGGCCTGGCCGGCCTGGCCACGGTGGCCACAGAAGACAAGGCCCTGCAGTTTGGACGATCCTTCCAGAGGCATGCCTCTGAGCCCCAGCCCGGGCCCCGGGCCCCCACCTACTCAGTCTTCCGCACGGTCCACACGCAGGGCCAGTGGGCCTACCGCGAGGGCTACCCACTGCCGTATGAGCCGCCGGCCACCGATGGGTCGCCCGGCCCTGCCCCCGCCCCTGCCCCTGGCCCCGGGTCTGGCCGCCGCGACTCCTGGATGGAGCGTGGTTCACGTAGCCTCCCCGACTCAGGCCGCACGTCCCCCTGCCCACGGGACGGCGAGTGGTTCATCAAGATGCTGCGGGCAGAGGTGGAGAAGCTGGAGCACTGGTGCCAGCAGATGGAGCGCGAGGCGGAGGACTATGAGCTGCCTGAGGAGAGTGAGTCGGCCCCATCCAGGAGTGTTGCAGGGCCGGGGGCTGGGGACTGGGGGCTGAGGGCACAGGGGACCGTGGAGCGGGGAGAGTGGGGCTGCAGCATAGTAGGCTCCCCCCACCCACCCCGTTGGACTGAGTTTGCCTTCTTTCCTGGTTCTTCAGCCCCAGAGCTGGGGAGGTGGGGGGTCAGCAGTGGCAGCAGGACCTGTTGGAAGCTCTTGGAAGCAAGCCGCTCTGATCAGGTAGAAGGCTAGACTTTTAGAAGATGGCTATCAATCCAGGTCACCAAATCCATGAGGACAAAGGGAATCCAGATCTGAACTGGTGTAGGGATCCAGAGTGATCCAGGAGCAAGACCTGGAGGTAGAGGGAAGGCAGTGCCAGTCAGATCAGATCTGAGGCTCAGCTAAGCAGTCATTGCCCTGGCCTGAGAGGGCATGGCCCCGCCCTGTAAATCCAGGCTGAGGGGAGGGGAGACACAGTCTCTAAGTTTATGGGACTAGGAAGTCAAAGTGTCATGTTCATGAAATTACCTAGTAATAATTCTTTTTTGTTTTTTCTTTTGTGGGGCTGGGGCTGGGACTGAGGATAGAACCTGGGATTCCCAAATGCTAGACAAGTGCTCTACCACTGAACTTCACCCCTAGTCCTCCTTATTTTTGTGATAGGGCCTTGCTAAATTGCTGAGGGTCTAAGTTTGGTCAATAGGGCTAGGCTGGGGCTGGTATCCATCTGTTCTCTGATGTGGAAGGAGGAGGATACAGGATGAGTGCTTAGCTAATGTAAGCTGAGTGAAGGAAGGAGCATCAGTGCCTCAGGATTCAGTCCTCTTGGTGAGGTGGGCAGGGAGCTACTAATTAGGAATTGAGGATGGGGATGGGGAAGGGGCTGGGGGAGATAGACTGTGCAAATAACTGAGTGGTGAGAACCATTTAGGGCAGACTTCCTGGAGGTGGGGGAAGGAGATGTCTCATTCCCCTCCTTGAGTTTCCTTCTGCTCTCCAGTCCTGGAGAAGATCCGCAGTGCTGTGGGCAGCACACAACTTCTTCTGTCCCAGAAGGTCCAGCAGTTCTTCCGGCTGTGTCAGCAAAGCATGGTGAGTGCCCATAGGAATACAGCCTACCAGGTTTGTGGACCTGGCAGGTGATCCAGAGTATGACCAGGAGGTAAGACCAGGTCTGTGTGCCTGCAGGGGTAGTTTTGAGTATATTGTGCCAGGAGGCGGGGGGGTCAGGTATTTGTGCCCAAGAAAGGAGAGACCTGGGCTCTTTTTGGTCTTGCTTTCTCCCACCCCCAACCCCTCTCCCAGGTTGAACTTCCTGAGGGTGAGATTGGATGGGGCTGTCTGTGGTCCTAACTGGGGTCAGACCTCCCTAACTGGCTGCCCCCACTATGTCTTCCACTGCTGCAGGACCCCACTGCGTTCCCCGTGCCCACCTTCCAGGACCTGGCGGGTTTCTGGGACCTCCTACAGCTCTCCATTGAGGATGTTACCCTCAAGTTCCTGGAGTTACAGCAACTTAAGGCCAACAGCTGGAAACTCCTGGAGCCTAAGGTGTGTGTTGGTGGGTGTCTCTAGAGGCCACACCCCGAACAATTACCTTCCAAGGAGAGATGTGTATGAAGGGGAAGGGCCCATGAGGAGGGACCCATGGGCAGCAAGGTGATGGGTGACCATCCGCTTCCAGAACTTCCGGTCATTGCAACCTGGGTGGCCCCAGTACTTATCACTGCCTGAACTTCCAGAGCTGCTTCAGGCATCTCTGGCCCTTGCAGTTTGGGAGAATAGAACTAGACCTAGAAGGTCACCTTCAGCTCAGGCCTAGGCATAGAGGACAGAGCAGTATATATACCCTCAGACCTCAGCCTACTAGATCCTGTCTGCCATGGGTCTCAAAGGAGTGGCGGGTCACCTCGCTTGCCTAGCCTCGGTTCTCAGAGCTGTGCCCATGTCCACCTGGCGTGAAAACACAGTCTCTCAGCCAGCATCCTGATGCGAGCTGTTCAGAACAGCTCCACCAGGGGGCGCTCGAACACGTCACGTTTTAGGGAAAGATGGGGGGGCTTTGACCTTGGCAGATCGAGTACACCTGGGGCTTCAAGTCGCAGCACCCGCGTTCAGAGTCACACAGTTTCCATCCCTCTGGGAGCTGGGACGTGGGGTCACGGGATGCCGGGTGGATCCCCCGCGCCCAAGCTCAGCCGCCCGCTCTCCCGACAGGAGGAGAAGAAGGTCCCTCCGCCGATACCAAAGAAGCCCTCGCGGGGCCGGGGCGTGCCGGTGAAGGAGCGCTCCCTGGACTCCGTGGACCGGCAGCGGCAGGAAGCGCGCAAGCGGCTCCTGGCGGCCAAGCGCGCCGCCTCCTTCCGCCACAGCTCGGCCACCGAGAGCGCGGACAGCATCGAGATCTACATCCCCGAGGCCCAGACCAGGCTGTGACCCGCCCGGCCCGCCCAGCCGGGCCCGGGCCCGCGGTTTTCTACCCGTACTGTACACCCAGCGTCGAGGTCACTGTGAACGCGGGCCGCCCAGTGCGCCCGCCGCGCCGGCACCGCACGCCCCGGCCCCTCCTGCCCGTCACACTCTCGTGGGTTTTTTACCTTCCTGACCCCACGCGAAGGCGCCCGGGCTGGGCTGGGGGCCGTGCCTCTCCGCCCTGCGCTCCCCACCTGGAACCCCCACCTTCCTGGTCCGACGCTTTGTCCCCACCTCCCCATGGGCACCATCTCTGCCATTATTTCCCCCCACGGGCCAGGCCGGGCCGGGTCCCTCATCTGGGCTCTGCGTCCCCTCACCCACCCCGCGGGGCTGGGCTTCGTGGGGATCAAGCTTCGTGGCTTTTTATGAAGAATCCCAAACCCCGCCTAGGAGCCCACCCCACCCTCCCAGGGCTCCACCTTCAGCCCTCAGCCCACAGGGCCCAGGGACCGCAGTGGCTGGACCAACCCAGGACCAGGGCACCTGGGCCTCTCCCCTTTCCCAGCGGCTGGGGAGGGGAGATGGGGGCTTCCCCTCACCACACCTGTGGCTGTTCCCACATCCCGAGTATCCCAGGAAAAATAAAACCGCAGAACTGCACTTGAGCCAGCTGCTCTCTCCAGAAGAGGCCACCTCTGCCTGGGGGTGGGCGTGGCAGGGAGGGGGGGCAGAGAAGTGCCATGCTGGTGCTCTTGATTTTGGGACAGCACAGGTCCTAAGCCCCTCCACGGGAATGGGCCAGCTTGGAGAAAGGGGATTTGGCCCTCTGGTGGCCACAAAAAGGACCAAGGCTTTCCTGGAGGGGCTCTGGTGGCCTGCAGAGGGGAAGGTGACAACCTCTTCACCCTCCCTGGTTCAGTTTGGTTCCCTTTCTGCCTCCCATTCCTCCTAGGGTTCCCCCAGAGCGGGAAGCACTGGCGCCCAATGCAAGGCACACAGCATGTGCTCAACAAACAGTGTGGTTATTATTAGGTATCTACAAATATGGTTTCTCTTCCCTTGAGGGCACAGTGTTCCTTCTGCTCCAGTCGTTCCTAATCAGCAGCAGAAAACTATTCAGAAAAGTGCTGCAACTTCCTCTGATGCCTCCTATGGGTGGATACTGGGAAAAGGAGGTAGAAGGAACATAACTTTTCTGGGAAGCCAATCCAGACCTAGTAGTAGTGATGGCTAATATTTATCAAAAATGCTTCATGTGGGTCAGGCAAGGGATGCATGCATTATGTGAATATAGCTCATTTTTACAATGGAGGACAAAGCTGAGCCCAAGGGAGGTTAAGTGATTTGTCCAAAGTCACAAAGCTAGAAGTGGTATCCCAGGTCTATTGCCAAGTCATGACTTCTTAGTTTTATAGCCTTCCTAGCTCAGAAAAGACTTGGTTGCAGCCCCACCCAGAAAGCCCTATTTCTAGTCCCTTGAGGTTAGTGTGTCACCTTGAGACAGGAAGAAAATCCCCTCAAGGGGTTGGTTGCTCTTCTAGGCACTCCTGGACCAATTCTCACATTTATTCAGTAAACATCACTCTCAGACACCATAGAGGTAACCCTGAACTGTGCAGTTTCTGTCCTTATAGAGCTTATGTTCTTATGGGAAAACCAGACAAGTAAACAAGCAATTAAAATGCAGTGGTGAGTTCTGGGAATGACTAGGTATTAGCCACTGACAAAGGGCTGGGGCTGGGAAGAATGTTCCAAGATCAGGGAACAGCTGTGGAAAGGCCTGGAGGAGAAAGGGCATTGGGAAGGCAGAGATGGATCATGTGGGCTTCAAGATCTGGTTGAGAAGGGTGAGCCTGCATTCTGTGTGCCCTGGGGAACTACAGAAGGGTTTTGAACTGAAAAGTGGTGTAAACGTTTTTATAGGCTGGTTTGGGAGACTACTACTCTAACAACTACTATACATGCCCACTCCCGTGAGCCCATGAGGAGGGCTCTCATGTGATCTGAATTCCCCAAAGCAAATTAGCTTGGAGCTGCCCATGCAGATTCCTGGGCCTGGTCCAATACTTAGTGAATAGACCCCATCCTTGAATGGTTATTTAACAAGTGGTCCAGGTGATTCTGATGTGAGGCCCAGTTTGGGAACACAGGTTGGATCACACAGGCTTCCTTTAGAAGTGATGATTTGTCTTTCTCCCATAGATTTGGCAAGGGAAGCCTGGACTGCATTACTTCTCTGAGATTGTTTCGTGTCTAAAATTGGGACATGAATGAGTTTTGAACTAGACAGTACTCAGAACAGTCTTTGAAGTGGGTGTTGTTATCACCTCCATAAGGAAACTGAGGCTTGGAGAGGTTAAACAGCTTACCTCAAATCCTGAAGCTAGGAAGCAGCTGAGTCCAAGTTCAACCTTCTACATTATACCATTTTTTTTCAAGGTCCATATCTTTTCTCAGAAATGGAGCTGGGTTTCCTGGATCAGGAGGTATATGGGAGTGGGCACAGAGGAGCAGGTCAGTTTCTGCAGTTCTGATCATCTTGCTACTGGCATGATGTTTAAAATATCCCCAGGTGATGCTAACGTGGAGCAGTCCCCTTAGGTTGTTGTGACCCGTGTAGTTGGACTGAGCCCTAAGGGTATATTAACGTGGAGACCAAGTTCTTGTGCATGAGTTAACCCCAGTCTGGCCATAGCCAGGAACATGAACAGAGAGACTACAAAGGGAGGTAGGCCTGCTCCCCTAGGAGGTCTGAGGAGATGAGAGTGGGGAGGTGCTAGCAATCAGGGTGCCAGTCTGTTTTGTGCTGCTATAATAGAATACCTGGATAATTTATAATGAGAAGAGATTAATTGACTCACAGTTTTGGAGGTTGGAAAGTCCAGCACCATAATGCCTAAAACCAGGGCACGACCTTGTATGCCTGTAGTTCCAGCTATTCAGGAGGTTCATTTGAGTCCAGATGTTCAGGATCAGCCTGGAAAACAGAGCAGGATACTGTAAAAAAAAAAAAAAAAAGTTCCTGCATTTGGCCAGGGCCTTCTTGCTGCATCATCCCATTGTGGAAGGCGAGAGAGGGCCAGAAAGGGGAAGAGGGGGCCAAACTCACCTCTTTAAAAGGGTACCAAATCCCACCCACCCACGAGAATGGAGTGCTCAGCCAAATCACCTTTTAAAGACCCTATTATAACAGCAATTAAATTTTCACATGAGTTTTGGAGGAACATACATTTAAACCCTAGCGTAGGATCCCGAGAAAGCTTTCTGCTTTGTGAACTGAGTCTCGCAGAATGAATTAGCATTTTGCAGTCAAGGAAGAGAAGGGAGAACATTCCTTTCAGGTGAAGGGATCGACTTTGGCAGAAGCTTGGAAAGGGTATGTGTTCTGGGAAAGAAGGGAGAGCAAAGGATGGAGGTGGGCATTAGGCTGGGATGGGGTGTGGCGGGAGTGGAGGAGATGTGGCCAGAAGGGACCCATGGTGGCAGTGGGGTGTGGGGAGCTAAACTAGGGATTTCATGTTTTTTTTTTTTTTTGTAAGTTTTTGAAAGACCCTTGGGCCAAAAGGATGTAAGTGGTCTGGAGGGGGCAATAAGAAGGCAGGGAGACCATTGCTAATGGGATCCAGGTAAGAGGGGGTGATGTTGACTTTGAGAGACATTTAGGAAGCTTTGGTGAAACAATCTCAGAGAAGTGACCTTGAAAGTCACTCAGATTTTTGGCTTGATGAGTGAATAAGGCCAAAAAAAAAAAAAAAAAAAGAAAAAAAGGATGAGGGGAGGGGCTGTAGCACAGTTGGTAGAGTGCTTGCCTAGCAATAAAGGTGTCCATCTACTGTATTTTTTTTTAAAAAAAAGGACAGGAGGAATGACTGTGTGTAATATTTAACATATGAGTAATAATTTACTGAGCACTTATTGAGGAGGTGCCAAGTACTATGCCAAGCACTTTATATACCTTAAGGTGATTTAATTCAGCAATCCTAGAGGCTAGGTACTATTATTGTCTTTATTTTTTTTAAGAGAGAGTGAGAGAGAATTTCTTAATATTTATTTTTTAGTTTTCGGCAGACACAACATCTTTGTTTGTATGTGGTGCTAAGGATCGAACCTGGGCCGTATGCTTGCCTGGTGAGCGTGCTACCGCTTGAGCCACATCCCCAGCCCCTATTACTGTCTTTAAAAATGAGGAGTATAAATATAGCTTTCCTGAGATTAGCAGATAGCCAAGGTGGGATAGCCATCTGATTTCCAAGTGTGGGCTCTTGAGCCCCACCCAGTTCTGCCTGAGGAAACTGTTAGGACCCAAGACACAGCTCAAGGGCTGGTTCTTCTAGGGAGCCTTCCCTGATCCTTCCTGGTTGTGCTGATGGTCCTCCTTTGTCATCATGTTTCTTGTACCCTGGAGACATTCTGTAAATTTGTCTGCTTCCCCTTCAGTCAATTCCGGAAGTCAGGGAAGGTCCAAGTCATTTCTGCATCTCCAGTGCCTACCACGTGTTAATTGGCTGGCTGAATGCCAGTTATTCTAGGCAGTTCTGTTCCCTTCTCCTTTCTTACTTATTCAATGTGCAAGCAAATAAGTTCTGCTAATAACAGTCTCCTAAATAGTTCTTTATACTGTTTCTTTCCATCTTAATTGCCAAACTTAGCTTTGGGCTCTTCCCAGTAATAGAGGAAGTGTCCCTAACCTGATAGTGCAGTATAGGAGGCTTCCTATGAAAGTAATTCATGAACTTGAAAACAAAAACAACCAAACAAAAAGAGTTACTTTGTTCAACAAAGTAACTGGGTAAGTACTTAAGGTAAATGGAAAAGCATAAGCAAAGTTACAGGCCTGTAAAACAGTTTGGTCTGTGTGGGAAATGGGAAGGTATTATTATGTATTACTAAAGATAAGGAAATATGCCAGGCAGAGATCAGGTTGATGAGATTGGGAAGGAAGGTCCATGTGGAGCCATTAAGGAGGTTGGGCACAGGGACTTTTTTTTTTTTCCTGTATGTGATAAAATAGATATCTGTTCAGTGTACAGTGGAAATACAAAAGAGGGAGTGAATACTTGCACCCGAGGGGTCACTGGTTTTACTCTATTTCCATTTTTTGTACTCACAATAGCTGCTATTTATTTCCCTGCTTGTGGTGTGCCTAGCACAGTACTTTACGTACATGGTCTTATATAATCCTCACAACATCACTGAAAAATGGGTGTTATTACTTCTCTACAGAAGAAAAGGAAGCTCAGACAGATTAATAATGTTCCCAAGGTCACACAGCTGGAAAGCTAGCTCGGATCCGAAGAGGTCTTAAAACACTAGATTATAATCTCCTAAAGAGAGTTACTTTAGGTCAGGGGTCATGTCTTATGTTTCTGTGTACCCGACCTAGGTCTTAGAAGATGCCTAATAAACGTCAGTTGAATGAATGAATGAATGAATGAATGAATGCTTTTCACTTTCTCCACGAGAAAAGCACGTGGCGACGTCACAGTGAAACCTCCCAGACATGAGGGGGCGCTGTACCGATTTCAGCGCAGTAGGGTCGGGCTGCGCACACCTAGCTCCTTCTCTCCCTTAGCTGGAGCTCAGCCAATCCCTGTGCTCGAGAAAACCCGCGGCCAGTGGGCGGAGTCACAGAGCAACGCCCCGCGGGCCGTCGGGAGCCGTGACATCCGTGCTCCCGGCTAGCGGCTGGAGAGCGGGGCCAGGCCGAGGAGTGCGGGCTGGGCCGCAGGTGAGCACGCGGGCCCGGAGGGCAGTTACCTTCTCTGGAGCGGCTTCCGGGGCCGCCCGTTCCACGATGACGGCTCCGGGCCGCGACCTCTGAATTAGGGGAAGGGTGATAGCGAGTTTCTGCTCCCGCGCAGGCCCGGCCTAACGGAGCCCTCCCTTCCCGGAGCTTGGTTGCAGAGTCTGGGAGCCCAACCGGCCTTCTGCGGGTTTCTTGGCCTCAGGCACCTGAGTGAGGATAGACGTTGACAGGGCCAAGTGTATGGTGGGACGGAGGAAAGAGGGTAGCTGTCTGGACCTTGACCTCACTTGTGCTTCTAACCCTGGCTGGGCTCGAGTGGCTTTGAGAGCTCATTCGTCCACCTTCTGAGGCCCCCTCTGTCCTTAGCAGTTTTCCAATTTGGGAGTGCATCTTCGGGTCTCACTGGACCTATGGGGCCCAGGCCCAGGTTTCTTGGCAGACCGTTGATCTATAGTGCATACATTATTCCTCTATTGGAAATAGTAGTGACAGTATTTGAGAGACACTTCTGCCTCTTTCATTTCGATACCCTGGGGTTGACTCCATGGAGTCTCTAGTTTTCGTTTAATCAGCAAAGACATCTGCTGTGTTCCTGCCACCTTTTGAGGGTGGGTGGATGACTGCTGTGGTTTTACCCTAGTGAATTGCTTGAGCAATCTGTCATTCATACAGTGAATTCGTTCAAGCTTCCCCCACCTTGACCAATTTGTGCCAAGGAGGTTGGGAGAGGTGGAGGGATGGATAGGACATAGTGGGACTGGACTGGTCCTTGCTCTTTAAGAACTTTAAGGTGTTTTGAGAAATGCAGACAAGTAGAGCAAGCCAGCACAGTGCCCACACAGAGAACATGGTTATAAGTGTTAAATAAATGAATAAATTGACTTATTTGGGAATGACTATAACACAAGCAGGGAGACAGACCTTGTATTGAGAGACTTTTAGTTGTAGACTTGTGATTGGTATGTTTTAGGACAGATTGGAAAGCTCAGTGGAGCTGCTGTTTAGAAAAAGTGTTTGCTTAAAAAGAGGGAGTTTGCTTAAATGACAGGAAATAAAATGGAGACGTGTTAGGTTTGGGATTCTTCAGGGTGTCTCTTTTAACAATGTCTTAAGAATTTTACAAATTTCTCAGTATATCAATTTGCAAAAAGGGAAGCATTTCTAGGTAATGAAATGCTAAGTTAATGGGGAAAAACTGCAGGAGGCTCTTCCTAAGTCCAGAATTTGGACAGAATCCATACAGGATCTGCAGTGTGTTCTTTCCACCAGAAAAGCACAGGCTTTGAAGTTAGAGAGATCTGGGCTTAAAATCATGGGTCTATCATTTCTAGTGGTCTTGAGCAAGTTAACAATGTCTCTTAGCCTTTATGGCTTTAGACAAAAATCTGGGCTACCGCACAAAGACATTGTGAGGGCCAGATGATGCCTAGTGTATAAGTTGTCCAGGGTAGGGTCTGGTGCTGAGACAAAGGACTAGGAAGGGATTCTTGAAGCTGCTGCAGTTTTCTGCCCCCATGATGGTCCATTATAGTCTTAGGTCCACAGAACACTTGGATTCTGAAAGGGAGAGAATGAAAGAATGGATTATCTTTTCTTTGGTGAGATTTTGATTGTTACTCTAGTCCAGAGATAGGCTGGGGAAATATCCACACGAGCACAGATAGATTTTTAGTTGGGGCTTTTGGGCAAGTTACTTAACCCTCTGATAATGCCATCTATCTTAGGGTAGAGATGAGGATAAAAGAGATAGTTTATGTAAAGTGCTTAGCCCAAGCCTAGCTATAACATGTGCTTAATAAGTAGTAGCCATCATTATTATAATTGTGAATGATCTTTGATAACTGAAAACCCATTTTGTTCCATTGTCCAAGGTGTGGAACACCTATAAAAACTTAAAATTGAGCAACTTTGAAGTAATTATTGTTTTTAGAAGTTTACTCTTTTGAGAAATGAAATAGGTGAATGACTATATCATTTGAAAAAATACATATATGTGTATTTCACATATATGCATAAAGGATTTATGAGCTCTAGAGTATGATTTCCAACCTATTTTAATCTTGTGTCAATATCATTGAAATGTTTACAGAATTGATAACTTGGGACTTCATTGGTTAGTATCAATAATAATCATTTGTCACTAAATGGCCATTAAAGTGAGCCCATTTGTGTGTGTGTGCGTGCGTGTACGTCTGTTTGGTACCTGGGATTGAACCCAGCAGTGCTTTAAACACTGAGCCACATCTCCAGCCCCTTTTTATATTTTTTTTTTTAGAGATAGGGTCTCATTAAGTTGCTTAGGGCCTTGCTAAGTTGCTGAGGATGACTTTGAACTCCTGATCTTCCTGCCAAGGCTCCTGAGCCATTGGGATTATAGGTGTGCGACACTGTGCCTGGAAATTTGTGTGTTTTTACATTACTCTCGCATTGTCATGTTTCATTTCAGGAGGCCCTAGTACATTTCCGCCCCTTTTATTTTCTGCCATGCCTTGTACAGTGTTTTTTACAGAGAATTTTCAAGTCCTGGGTCCTGTGATGCCCAGAGTATATAATGGTTTGTGATATTTTTAGGAGCTTACTATGCAAATGTAAGGATATGAGTTTGATTGAAGATAGTATATTTTGAAGAAGGTTTGACCAGCAGATTTGGGAAGTATAGACTACAGTGTTAGAAAATCAAGTTCAGAATAGGATTAAAACCTTTATTTATCTCACACCCAGAACAGTTAGGTGATAGATTATGGTTTGGGCTGTTTTGATATGCTCCTTGTACTTTACATGAGGAAGTGGAACTATTTTCTCATTTATTGAGGTGGGAGATGACAGTGGGATTGTATATGGTCATTGTCTATTTTGTAGAACAGAGAAAGGCTGTTTTTCCCTTCCTAATATGTTGGGAAACTGGAGGGTTTGCAGGGCTGTGGTCCACAAAAGGCTTGACGCTCAGAGGTCCCCTTGTGGGGAGCACTGCCATGCGTAGGTGCATGGTGCATGGGATAAAGATTCTTTCCCTCTTCCCTAATAATTGAATATTTCAAAATTTCCTAGATTATTTCAGGGACCTGACTGTGCATAAAGCATAGTACCCTCTGGCATTACTCTGCAGCAGCTGGCTGCTCAGTAAATGGTGCCAGGAAACTTGGTAAGTGGTGTGCCCTGTGGGTTGTCGATATCTGGTGGGTTGTGGGTGTTTGTTTCTCCCTAATTCTACCTTATGCTCTGCTGCAGATGTCATGTGGCCTGTGTTTTGGACCGTGGTGCGTACCTATGCTCCCTATGTCACATTCCCTGTGGCCTTCGTGGTCGGGGCTGTGGGCTACCACCTGGAATGGTTCATCAGGGGAAAGGATCCCCAGCCAATGGAGGAGGAAAAGAGCATCTCAGAGCGCCGGGAGGATCGTAAGCTGGATGAGCTGCTGGGCAAGGACCACACTCAGGTGGTGAGCCTTAAGGACAAGCTGGAGTTTGCTCCTAAAGCTGTCCTGAACAGAAACCGCCCAGAGAAGAACTAATGGAGGACATAGGGCCATATGGTCCACAGGGCTGAGACTGGTTCTGCCATGTCGACCCAGCCCCAGAACATATATCTGATTTGCTTTGCTGCTTATTCTGGCCTCTCCTGCACCCCACAACCACACTGTACTGGCTGTTCCTTTTTGGCCAGGCAGGCACAACAGCAGCTGAGGGGCCAGCAAAGAGGAAGGCTGCATCTGTTGAATGAGGTCCACAACTGCTCAGGCTTCTGGGCTTACGTGGGTGCACTGCACAGAGGACTGTTATGGAATGAACATTGGTTCTCAGACTACCTGGGGAGATGGTTTGGTCTCAGGTGGGAGGGCTGGGATTTGGATGTTGCCTTTAAGAGGGGTCCACACATGTCAAGTTCTAGTTTGCACTGGGAAAAGTTCAAAAATCTACCTGGCTTCCTCAGTTGATTCACCCTCTTTCGTGTTCATTCTTTCAGAAATTCTGTTAGCTCAGGAATGGGATTCCCCAGGGAAGGAAAGCATTTTTCTGTTGTCAGAAGCTCAGGCTGCTCACCTTGGGACAGGGAGGAACATGTGCCTGGTGAATTTGCTTGAAAACAATCACTGTCTTCCACTCCTCACTGATGTGTAATGAAAACCTTGATTAAAGTGGCAACTGAGCACCTGTTGATTGAATCCTATCTTCTAGAGGCATTTGGTATCTCCTTAGGAGTTAGGAAGCTCAGGCATTCAGGTGGGACAATAGTGGTGTTCAAGGACTCCCAGGGGCCTGGAAGCCTTGTTTCAGGTGGTTCACAGCCTTGGTAGTTGCTGTGAATCCCAGAGGCCCAGGTTCCCAAGAGCCTTTTTACCATGACAACAAGAGGCTATAGCATCATCTAAAGTCCAAGTACAGAAGATGGATGTGTGTATGCATGCACGCACATACCACACACGACACCCTTCTCTTGAAAAGTAATATATGCACGTTAGAGAAAATTTGGTAGGGATTAAAGAAGGTCACCCATGCTCTCAGTGCTCTAACTACTGTTAACCTTTTGATATCTTCACTAGTCTAGTTTTTAAAGATATAATTTACTTTATTATTTTTTCACGTTTCTCTTGTTTTTAAATTTTTTTTCAGTTACTGGGGATTGAACTCAGAGCTTTTCACGAGCTAGGCAAGCACTCTACCACTGAGCTATACCCTTAGCCCCCCTTTTTAGCATTGAGACCAGGGTCTTGCTAAAATTTGGTCACCTTCGTGCTTCCACCTCCTAAATAGCTGGGATTACATGCATGCCTTACCATGCCTGGTTACATATTATTTCTTAAAATCATATCCTGTGGTTATCATAATTTTTTTTTTAAATTTCTTTTAGTTATAGATGGACATAGTACCTTTATTTTATTTATTTATGTGGTGCTGAGGATTGAACCCAGTGCCCCACATATGCAAGACAAGAGCTCTACCACTGAGCCACAACCCCACCACTTATAATTGTTTTTTTTTTTTTTTAAGTTGTAGTTGGACACAATGCCTTTATTTATTTTTATGTGGTGCTGAGGATAGAATCCAGTGCCTCGCACGTGCTAGATGAGCACTCTACTGCTGAGCCACAATCCCAGCCCCTCCTGTTTGTTTTTAATAGTTGCATAATTGCCCATCAAGTGGGAGTATGGCAAAAGTTTATTTTAAAGATTCCCTGTTGGTGGACATTTGAATTGTTTGTTCACAAGTTTACATACTGCAATGAAGATCTTTTACAAGGCTTTCCCTGCATTTTTGAGAATAGTAGGAAGAGTAAATGGTATTTGGATAAAAGAATTAACAAATTTTGAGGGTTTCTGTGCATAGTTAACTAAATGTCTTTCCAAGAAGACTGTAGGAGTTTATGCAGAATGTTATCACTTAAGATGTTGCCAGTGGGATTGTACAGGCTGCAGAGTAGAGGGCTGGAACAGGCATAGGATCATGTTGCCTCATGAAGCAGAGTGGTGAACCACCTAAGTGAGCAAGGGGATTGTAAGTAATGAGCACTAGACAAAGAGGGAATCTGCGTCCTTGCCCAGCTTATCAGGTTCTCTCTCCCCAGAACCTGATGGTTTTAACTGGTAGGTGAGGCTGGAATTCCTCAACAGGTAGAGATGCCAGCTATGGAGAGGAGGAAGCAAATCCAGTGAATGACTTCCCCTCCGTGTTGCTGAGGCCAGGTGGGGATGTTGAACTGAGCTGCTGTTGTCTCCCAGGGAAGGAATCCCATGAAGAGTATGGGGGAAGATTGCTACTTCTGTAAAATTAGGGTTCTGAAAGGATCTGCTAAACTCAGCTTCTGGTTACTGACCACCTGTGGCATGCCTCATGACAGACCGGTGCTGCCACCCTGTGGCAGACTTGAGCATTACCAGGCCTGGGATCGCTCCAGGGGGCTAAACCAGGAGCAAACTTGATGCCTACAGGTCAATCAGAGGACAAGTGAACAGTAGGCTAGTCTGGCTGGGAACTGGAAAGTACAGCCCTGCCTAGAGGGGGCAGTAGTGATTCAGCTTTCAATTTGTGCTGCTTGCACTGGCACTGAGATTTTCCATTTTTTTCCTCAAAAATGCTGGAAATTCAATGGAGTTTTAATTTTTTTATTTGTGAAAACTTCTGTTTCGTTTTGTTTTTTTTAAAATGTGACAGTTTGTTTTTAAAAAAAATTAAGCATGCTAACACACTTGCAGGGTTAATTGGGCTAGGGGCTGCCAATTAGTGATCTTTCAAAATGCCCTTCTCAGGATGTAGCTTGTAGACTGCTTGCCTGGCATGTGTGAGGCCCTGGGTTCCATCCCCAGCATTGGAACAACAACAACAAAAAGCCCCTCTGCTAATGACATGGCCTAATTCATTTTTTTAGTTGTCTAACAACTTGTAACAAATATCAGGTCCCATAATTGGTTTCCATTGAACACTTTTGGGTCTCCTGCACATGCGCAGTTTAATATCAACCTAAGCAAAACATTTGAGGAAGGAAAGCCACATAAATGATAGAAAAAGATTTTCCCAGAGACATTTTTAGATTTTCAGATATTTTAAAACAACCCTGTCTCTGCTGGTATGCCTCCTACCAGTGCCTTGCTAAGGAAGCGCTATCTTTGGAAATGCAAGTTGTTCCCTTCTTCAGGCTCACTTTGATTGTGCCCCCTTTTAAATAATTTCATTTCCTAGGGCAAATCCTGGCGGAATTTCTGCCTCCAGCAAGTCTATTAATATTCTCAGCTAGATCTTTCTTTCCCACGGACTGGCTGAGATCTACTGCCGTAGTGGCTGTGCATGCTCTCCTGCTTCTGTGCAGGTGACATCAAGTAGCAGGGCTAATGTAGATGTAGGTAAAGACAAGTCATGGTTGCTGGGGTGAATCAGGGTATGGACTGGTTTTCTTCCATGTTTGCTGATTCACCTTGAAAGCATGTGACCCTCTCTTACTGGTCCCACAGTCACAGTTCATTGAAACACATTATTAAGTGGCTGAGCTTGGAGCTCTTTGCTTGTCCTCTACTCCCCTAGGTTCTTTTTTTTTTTTTTTTTTAATTAGCCCCGTGATGGTGGTGGCTTTGGAGCAGGGTTATCCTGTCTGAGCACGGCAGGAATCACTTCTCTGCCCTCAGCGGCTCAGTGTCTGGTGCTTTTCCACTCTCGACCCTTTCCTGTGCCTGTTGCTGTGTTAGCATGTCAGCTGGGTAGCTGCCAGGACAAACCTTCCAGAGAGCCCTTTGACTCTTGTCAGCTTCCCAAGGTCCTGGGCTGGTGGGACTGTTGGCCAAATGAAACAGCATGGAATTAGTCCCACTGAAGTGTGGGTTGGGGGCAGTCAGCTGGGATGAAGAGGCTCTGCCTTGCCTCGCTTTTCCTCATCCATGTTGGCGTGGGTCTCTACGTATTTGTGGAGTGCTGAGCCAGGGCAGTGTGGTAGAATGAGAGTAAAATGGGTTTTGGAGATTGGCAGATTGAGTTATGAACAATGTTTCAACAACTAGATCTTGGTCAAGTCACTGAAGCCTTTCTGAAGCTCAGTATCCTCATTTGAAAAACATAAGACTTTTTGGAAGTGGTTTGAGGGAGGATAAGGTAGTGTATGTGAAGTTTTAGCACAGCCCATGGCAACTAGTAGGCACTCAGTGAGTGTTAGCTGCTTTAATTTTTATTGCAGGGAATGCCTATATTTCCTGCAGTTGTTACATGTACGATTGTGACCCTGGTGAGTGGGAGAAGAGAGCGATCTCAGCTGGTGACCCCAAGGACCCTCACAGGCCTGGTGGTTGAGGGTTTCTTAGGAATAGTTATGGAAAGGACTGGCTTTCCTAAGAACCAAGCTGACCCGGGGGACTGCAGCCTTTAGACCTGGTTACTGAGTAGTACTCCACAGTGTGGTCTGCAAAGGCAAGAGGTGAGAAGTGGGGAGTAAGTCATCCAGAGGTGTTCTGACCCAAGAGGTCATGGATCAGGAGAATGGGAAGACAGAGCCTTGGACTTGAAGGCAAGAGAACTGGGAGGCTTGGGGATGCTATCCTTTCTCCTGGCCTTTGGTTTCCTAGCCTGCAAAATGGGGTGCTAAAATGTTCCCTGCTGGTAGCACAGGAAGAGAAGCCGATTTGAGTACTTTGAAGACATGCAAGGGCTGGACGTGCTGACCCAGTAAAACTTCTTTTATCTAAGTGGGATGGCAGCCAATCTGAACAATAAAATATAAATACAAGCTCTTTTATTCCTTTGCTGTACATGGTGTCTTTTAAAAGGATTTGTTAAATAGAAGTCTTTGGAGGATTCAGTGTGAAGAGCAAAGAATAATTATTAATTGGTGTATCTGTTTTCATCCTCTTCCAGCAGTGCCTCTCATGTGCTTAAAAATTGTTTTTTTTGTGTGTGTGCTGGGGACTGAACCCAGGCTTCATGCATGCTAGGCAAGTGCTCTACACTGAGCCACACCCCCAGCCTGGTGTATTCTTTTTTAATTAAATTTGTTAACATTATCTGTTAAGCCACTTTTACATAAAACCATGGCTTTAAACAATGGCAAATGGGCCTTCTAAATTATTGAGATTTAAAAAAAATGTTTAGCATCCTGGCAAGGGCATGGACATTTTGGAAGAGTCCAAGGTATTTGCCTTATGCCCTCTCTCACTGCCCCAAATGCTTCACATCCACCTCCATCTCCACTATCCATTGTTTTTCTTTTTTTGGTACTGGGGATTTAACCCAGAAGGGTTTTACTGTTAACCTACATCCCTAGCATATAATTTTAATTTTTTATTTTGAGACAGGGTCTCACTAAGTCGCTGAGGCTGGCCTTGAACTTATGATCCTCCTGCGTCAGCCTCCTAAGTTGCTGGGATTACAGGTGTGCCCTGGCTCCACTGTCCTATTTCCTTCTGAGCCTGCACTGCCAAGTGCAACTGGAGCAATTTGTATAGCTCACTCCAGGCACTCTCCATTTGTGGGTTCTGGATGCAACACAATCTGGAATGCTTCAAGGTGATCATTTTTTTTTTTTTTTTAATGTTTTTAGTTGTCAGTGGATCTTTATTTTTTTTAAATTTATATGTGGTTCTGAGAATCAAACCCAGCGCCTCACACATGCTAGTCAAGCGCTCTACAACTGAGCCACATCCCCAGCCTGAAGTAATCCTTTTTAAACAGGCTCCC